TGGGGGGAGTGAGCGAGCGGCTGGGTGGTGCTTAGTTGCAGGCTGGGGTTAAACCATGACAGGGGGCCAGAAGACAATCAGAAAAATCAGAAGATTTACAGCCAGTGAATTAGTAGGACAGCAGCTATACTAAAGTACATTGATTTTAAGCTATTATCATAAATTACAAAAAAAGGAGAGAGGGCTACTTCCTTTTAAATGCTGAAAATTATCTTCTCTGTTTTACTTTTTGGCTAGCTTAAAAGAAATTCTGCATGTGCCTTCGTAGTCTAATCTAAAATTCCCAGTATTTCAAAAACTACCCGACCACAAAGAACCAGCCAAAGCCTAGATACAGTGAAAAGAAAAAAAAAGCAAACACAAAACATTCTTATATTACTACTGTACAGTCACCAATGTCAACATGTTTTAAAATAGCATGTTTTGTTGCTTACAGACAGGCTATTCCTAGGGGTGAGACATATCACCATGTGCTTTGTTATACAGAGAGGGGAATATTCAGTAACTGGCCAATGATTCTACTTAAAAGATGATCGTGCCCCTTATTCACCTGTGAGTGGATAATTCCCAGTAGAAGCAATAGGCACCTTAGGGTACACTGGCTTTCAAAATATTCAGACAAGTGAACCCTTACCAAAGAAGCCAGGTGACTGACTGACATTGGACTTACAGCAGCTTGTCAGCAACTGCAGTCGCTCTCCCATTCTGCTCTACCAAGGTGCCTCAGCCTTGATCTGGAACTCTCGTAGAAGACTCAATTATTAAGCATCTCCACATTTCACAACACCAGCCAGCTTCAGCTCACCGCAGCCCCTCTGTCAGTTAGTGCAAGTCGTAGCAGTGGCTTTTGCGGTACGGATCCATCTCATCCAGGGGTTCGGCTGAAGCCAACAATTATATTTCAGGTAACGTTCCTGAGGAGCCATTACCAGGACTGGATTACTCACAAGCCTGGCCTAACGTCTAATTAGGCCCCAGAAGCCAGAAAATCTGACTGGCTCAGAAGATTGCTCATAGCCCATTACCAATCTGTCTTCACTTCTCTGAACAGCAGCAAGAACTTCAGCAGCCAAAAATGAACGATTTATCAATCAGGGAGTCAAGTTTGACAGGAACTAATGTCTTGGTAAACTGTACAGACCTTTCTTAAAAGGATCAATCCGTTATGCTCTTACAATTTTTAACAAAGTGAAGTTAAGGGTGGCTTACCTATTTCTCTTTCCATAATTTCCTTTACTTTCACCTCCATAGGTCATTGTACCAGCCCCCTTCATTATGCAGCTCATATTACTACTTATATATACGAGGCTCATGTCTGAGATCAGGATACGACAACCAACCGACCTAGTTGTTGGAAACCTCTACAGAAATCAAAGCAGCTTTCAGCAGCACAATCATTCTGGATTATCAGAAAATTTAAGGACCACTCTCTCTCTGAAAATGTGCTGTGTTAAGCAACTCTCATAAGCCTTTTCGTATTTAAAAGGAAAAGGTTAGTATACAAATGGTTCATCCTTCAGTGAAACATAGCCAGCCGATATATAGCAAGTAACTGAGTAGAATACCCATAGGTTGACTTTAGTTGATAAAGAGTTAACTGTTGTTAAGCAACTGATATGTTAACAAGAGATACCAAAACACTAGCTCTGATTAGCACTAGTTAACCTGCACAGCATCAAAGCTGAGAACTGGAATGGTACACTGCCCTGATATATTGCGTTTAGGTTGATCCAACATACAAATCCTAAATACAAGCTCTTTCACCTTAAAAACAGAACAATTCCCTCTACCTAACTTCTTTTACAGAACCTGAAAAAAAGGCTTATTAAAATTCTTCATCTATTTTCTTCAGCATTTAAACTGAGCCAAAAAGCTCATGATAATGCTTCTAAAACTTGTGAAGGCAGTGGGATAGAACTAACATATTCCCATGCCTGAACGCAGGTTTAACTACTTGAACTCAAATCACACATTTTCAAATCCCTAATGATTGAACTGATAGCATCAATTATCTAAAAGGCTGCGTCCAATGAAACACAGCTTTCTGACATTTTCATGGTACATGATATTGCATTCACATTAGGAAAACACTGGTTCTGTAAGAAATATTGAAACGTGTACAAGGAATGATTTGGAGCGCTGTGATGTGGAGCATCCTGTCTTCCATAATAAATAGGGAATATTTTCCAGTGCCATCTTTACTCAAAGCTCTGTTTTTTTGGCTCCCCTCCCCCCCCTCCCTTTTTTTTTTAAGGTATGGTTTACTCTTATCTCTGAAGTTAGTTAACAGGAGTATAAAATACCTCACAGCACTCTCCTTTAAAAGAAAATATATCAGGGAAAGAGATCACGAGTAAGACACGCTTGGTAACACTGTAGTCTATCATTGTATTTCATCTTTCATAGAAAAATAATGCTCAAGAGCATTATTTTTCTTAACGTGCTGTAGGCTAAAAATGAACCCTCAGGGGTTTCTATTGCTCTTCTTGTTGCCAGAGCAACAAAGCAATACTCACCTGAATATCTGTCAGTGTAAGTATCAATTTACAAGCCGAGATGAAGTTTGTGCTGCTAGCAGATGTCGCTAACAACCTTCTTACTATAAGCCAAATTTTAGTGGCAAGGGATGCCATGAAAACTCAAGAATATATTAGTATTTCATTTGTGCTACTTGATTATTGCTCATATAATTCAAGTGTTTCTAATAAAATGTCTTGACCAATGACATTCAAAGTGAAAGGGTAAAACTGAATGGCTTTTATATGCAATCTAGCGCACTTAAAAGACTTTGTTAAGCAACTCAGAAGAAATCTCGCTTGTCATTAGAAAGCATACTAGGAACCTTTCCCAATAAATTCCTTCCTAAAACTCTTTGCGGTAAGTAGATAGGAGGGGGTGGGGAGAGGGAAGCAGCTAAGAAACATTTTAAGAGCATACAAGTGTTATCACTTTCTGCATTGAAAAAGGGCTCATTGTTTACCACTGTATCAATCCAAACATTCACACTGTGTTTCTGTTTGAAACAGGTGACAGAAGCATTACTTATATTACTATACTGTAGAAGAAGGAATACAACTTTGAAATTATTTGTTACGTGTCAAACCAAACCCAGGAGGATGATATGGAACCGAATCACAGAATCGGAAACATCACTCTCTTTCTTTTCAGAGCAAAGTCTACTGCTTTAAGAAAAACTCAAGGGAACAACTTCTTGTTATAACATGTACTGAAAATTCTAATTATAAGACATTGAGAGAGAAGTATGGAAAATAGAATAGGGAGAAAACACTTAAGCTTTATAGTTTCTTACATTCCTTATAATTCGTCATTTTTCTCCCCTTAAAAACTAAGAGGCAGAGGAAGAAGGAAGCAAACTCGAAATTTCCTCCTACTTCCAACTCCTAATTCCAAGAGAAATAATTTTCAGACGTTGGATCACAACACCAATTATTTCACTCTATTCAGCCAAGCAATCTGAAAGTGCAAGAATTAAAAAGGAAAGAATATCACAGGCACTTCCAGTTATGAAGTGAAATACACAAGTTAGTTTAAAAAAACATCAGTGCTTTATTTTCACACGCATTATGTGCACCTCTGTAAAAGCACCATTCCTGAAAAAAAGAAATCTTTGCTTATTCCATGCAGAGTCAGACACAGAGAGAGTGTGAATCAGAAAGCTATATGAAGGGATTATAGGCAGAAAATTTTCTAGGCAAGGGATTGGGAGATTCAGAGCTAAGCTTTCTTTTTTTTTTTCTCCTTGTTTCCCACACAGATATGCAAACTGCTCTGCAATCAAAATGCAAAGGAATTTTTTTTCCTTTTTAAAAAAAAAACAAAACCAAACCCAAATAACTAGTAGTTATCACCGGACTCCTCAAGCTTGCATTCTTTATCTTTCAAATCCAGTATACCAGTGTTATAGAAAGGCAACGGAGGTCCTGCAACGCTCACTGACTAGATACAAGAAAAATTGTCCTATCTGCAAAGACAATACCGTGTTCTGACCTCAGCATTAAGATCTACGCTTGCACAATGGAGGTCTGGCCAAATATATTCTTCCCTGCTCTCTCCCGCTATTGTTTTCAGTCTTACCACATGTTGGTTTTCAGGCGGTCAGTACACACACTTTTCATTCGATTAACACACCAGCGAAGCTAAACTAAACACCTCCAACTGCTGTTCAAGTTGAAAAACAAGCCAGCATTAAGACTTTCACTTCACAGTCTGTCCATCAAGACAGATACTTTTCCCTTGAATTTCTAGGTTGCTGAGCCAAAAAAGAGGGTTGTCTTTCTCATTTTGTTGTTTTCTTCTTGTTACACGCTCACTAGGAATACCAAAAGAGATGGCAGAACACAGACCTTAGCTTTATCATCTGTCCATACATATGCAGACCAGCCTTTTCTATATATCAGTCATCCTCAACTCAAAAAACCCCAACAAACCCCACAACCCCCCCACATTAGGGGGAAAACTGAAAGGCTTTTTTTGCGCACCAAAGTGGAAAGTCATGAAGTACTGATTTTTATAAAATCCACTACTTCGAAGCTAAGGACTTGCATTTGGTTGTATGGAGCATCTTGTGCTTCAAGACCAGTTCTAAGCCACACGTTTACCAGTGGTAGCATCCTTGTAAATTAAGAGAGGTAGTCTTGTTTTACACTAAGGCTGAACAAGTTTGTTTCCCAGTTTTCACCTCCTCAAACGATTTTGTAATGACACTCAGGAAGGGCGACCCTCTCAAGTGGCAGCAGTCATCTTGAGGGAAAAAAACCCCACTAACCAACATTTCTTCTTGACCTCACTTGCTTTTCTCTGCTGCTTAAGTTTGACCTTTCTCCCTCCCCCGCACCATAAGCACAGTTTCAAAATGAATTGATGTAAACAGAAAGCAGTATTCATTTAATGCAATTAATAAGAAAGATTATTAAAGTTTTTTTCCTCTTTTTCTACAGTCAGGGCTCGATTAGTTAGAAAATACTGACAGCTCCTTTTTTTGTGAAAGAGGGATGGTCAATTTTGTTCAGACAGTGGAAGAACATCATGGTGTGGTTTTTTTCCTTTTTTTTTCCTTTTTTTTTTTTTTTTCTTAAAAGAAGGTACTATTGAGAGCATAAAGGCTCATCGTACTGCAGTAGCAAATCCAGTACCGTAGCACTTAAGAGGTGGTTAACAGTGCTTTGGTTCAGAATCAGTGTTAGAAAATAAAGCTTAAAAAGTTACGATGCAGGGTATTTGGCGGGATTTCAACAGCAATTTGTAACGAACGTAGAAAGGACTGAGGCATTGGCTTCTTCCCCTTGGCAAAGTACTTTGTTCTTCATTCTGTTTAAGTCCCAGGTTTCACGACCAAGTTTCTCATTTCCATCGATGACGCACTAAGGAGGATTCGTCATTGACCACGTCACTGTCAGTGTAGCGATGCTGACACCGTGGTGGAATAAGCAGCAGGATGATCAGTACAAGGAGGATAATTCCACACAGGCTCATGAGAGCATAGGAGGCAATCCACAACACTGGTTCATGGAAAGAAACGCTAGAAACACAGTTGCTTGCAACATCTGCTGTTGTGAAAGGGCCTTCAATCTCAGATACTGGAGAGCCATCAACTTCTGAGGAATTACAGAAAGAAAAACATTAAGTCTATAGACACCATTTAAAAGCAAATAACAAAAGATCTAGCTTAAATACCTGTATATATCCCTTTTTCTCCATCATCATACCTCTCAGCATACTCATGTTTTATTGTATTTCTCATTGCAATAAAAATAGTAGTATTCCATGTTTATAAAATGGGAATCGGAAGCATAAGGAGACCATGATACTCCCACATCTACACAGGCTGTCAACAAGAGAGCAGACATTTAAATCAGGTTTCCCACAGCCCAAATTAAAGCCCAAGCCACTGGATCACCTTTTCTCTCTGGACTAACCTTTCAGAAATGTCAGTTCAACAAAGCTTAAAAATCCTACAACACCTACACTGGAGTAGGTCAGGGCCTGGACAGTTTTTGTTTGTTTCTGGCATTCACAAGAGCTGGAAGAGTACCTCAGATGATTCTTACATCTTCTGTGTTTGCTATCTTCCAGGGTCTTAGGGAGCAGCATGCAGGATCATGAGCTTCGTAGATACCTTAAAGGACTGTATCCTGAACACAAGGTGCAGGGTGGGAAGCAGCACAGATACTCTTGTGAGTGGAGGTGAAAATTCAGAAGGAAGAGGAGGTGAGGCAGGAGAGCTGGGTGACAGCTG